CCCCAAAACCCCAAAACCCCAAAACCCCTTATGAGGCCAATCAATGGAAATCTTTTAGGATATTTCCTAAACTTTCACCTTTTTAATTGTTTTTAAAACTGTCTTAGCTCCTTGAGCAAGCTTTCTACCATTGATTTGACTTGTAAGAGCTTTAAATGCCTCTCCATATGTTGGATATGGATGAACTACAGCTCCCATCGATGAAAGTCCTACTTTGTTGTACATTGCTTGAGCAATTTGTGAGACCATGTCACCTGCAGGTCCTCCTACTATTGTACCACCTAAGATTTTATCAGTGTCTTTTTGACAATGAATCTTAATTAGTCCAATTACTCCATCACAAATAGCTCTGTCATTATTTGAGATGTCGTATTTGTAAGTATCATATTCAATGCCTTCTTTATCCATCTCTGAAGGATATTTACCAATATGGGCTAATTCTGGATCTGTGTATGTACACCAAGACATTATGACCTCTGAACTCTTCTCTCTTCCTGAGAAAAGTGCATTCTTGGCAGCATTTTTAGCCATAATATCTGAATTATGAGTAAATTGATATGGACTACACACATCTCCAACAGCATAGATATCTTTGTTAGTAGTCATGCAGTAATCATCAACATGAACTCCTCTAGTGTGATCATATTCAACTCCAGCTTCTTCAAGTCCAAGACCATGAACGTTAGGTCTTCTTCCAGCTGCTACGAGGATAGAGTCTCCCTTAATAGTTTCTGATATTCCATTGATATTTATTTCCATTTCAAATTTTGCCTCAGGATTCCATAATTTCCCTGGAGATTTAGTTACTTGAATCTTTGTAGGCTCAGCATTAAAAACAATATTTACCCCATCATCCATTAAACTTTGGTGGAGGAATGCAGCAGCATCAGGATCTTCTTTAGGCAAAAATCTATTTGTTTTTGATAGCATTGTGACTCTTGTGCCAAATCTTGCAAAAGATTGTCCAAGTTCGCATCCAATAGGACCCGCCCCAATAATTACAAGGTGATTAGGCTGTTCAGTAATATTAAACACATTTTCGCTTGTTAGGTAAGGAAAATCTGACAATCCTTCTATATCAGGGACATAAGGATGTCCTCCTGTAGCAATACTACATTTCTCAAATTTTAGAGTTTGTCCATTTACATCAATTTCTCCTTCGTTCAAGAATTTAGCATCTCCAAGATACATATCTATTCCGTATTTCTTTGCAAATTTATAGACACTATCATGCTCTGCAATTTCAGCTCTGACTTCTCTCATTCTTTCCATGACTCTTGCGAAATCAATTTTCATTTCTCCTTCAAACATAACTCCAAACTTGCTGGCATTCCTGCATGTGTGGGCAACTTTGGCTGCTTTTATGAATGCTTTGGAAGGAACACAGCCTGTGTTTAGTCAGTCTCCTCCCATCAGATTTCTTTCAATGATCGCAGATTTTGCTCCAGAGACAGCTGCTGTGATCGAAGAGACCAAGCCCCCAGCTCCACCTCCAATTGCAACCATATCATATTTAACATCAGAACTAGGATTGGTCCAATTAAGAGGCCTGCAATTATCAAGAACTTCTCTATTATGCTTATCCACCAAAAGTTCTCCCATCTCTGAATTCCTCTTGGGCCAATCACTTAAAGAATCCAGCACATCCTTGACTTCTTCAGAACAAAGATGCTTGCCTTCTTCTTCCTTAAGCACATCCTGCCAAGTAGTCTTTGCTTGGTCTAGTTCCTTCCTGTCGCTTTCGAAGACATAAAATTGTTTTCTGTTTTCAAATTCTTTGTCTTCGCAGACGTGGCCGATGACTCCTTGGGTTCTGAGCCCCTCTCAGATTTGTAAGGCTTCGTGGATGTTCTCTCCGTACCCAAATTCAAGGAGCACATTAACCACATCTCTTCCTATAAAGCAGTTCTTATAAGTCTGGTGGTTATACCTCCGGTCTTTAATTTCGACCTTAGATTTAATGAGGCTGATTATTTTAGCCGTGTCTTCTTCAGAGAGGGGTTTTGGAGGGAGTTTGTAGGAATGAGTCTCCATTTTTAATTTTATACAGAAAGGTGTGATTCTGTAATATGTAGTATGATGGGGTTTTGGGGTTTTGGGGTTTTGGGGG